GTGTTGCCGGCCTTTGTTCTCCGTGCCCGAAATATTCAATTGGAATATTGCCGAGTATATCTTCCACTTAATTAGCGCGCTCTCTGTTCAGAATTTCAGCTAGAGCATCTTCATATATAAGTGCAAGCTCTACGCATCAAAACCTACGTAAATGAATATCTAAGCTGCGTGTGACTGTTTAGTGGGGAAGAATTTATTTATTTTATTCGATTTTGGGCACATTTTGTAATAAAATTTATATTTTTAACAATCACCCTTCACTATCGATAACCATTTATTATCCCGACTTAAAATAAGATGCAGACACTTTTGTATCTTTGTGATAAAATTCGTGACAAAAGAGTTTGGATGTCCCACAAAAAGGCCGGTAATCAATACGGCTACCACAATCCGTCAATTAATTTACTATTGAGATATGAAAGGCGACAAAGAGACAGCCGCCAAGAAAATGCTACCACTATTTCGCTATCTTACAATATTTTATTCAAATTAAATCTTAAAATACAGGATATAGAGCTTATTTTTTGAAATCGGACTCAATAAATATGCACTGGCTACTGTAGGCGACAGCCAGTGATAACGCCGAGTGGAGCTACGTCGTTAAACATCATTAGCAAGATAAACTTCCTAAAAGCCTTCACTGAACCACGCAAGAAAAGGCTGAGATACGCACCTACAATTCTTGATTAATGTCAAGGAATAATTCAAATATGTGTTTATATATTTACATTACAATGTTATAATTGTAAATGATTGTTAGAATTTAAATATTTGGATAGTTAATTAGCGATGATAATGGTTAGGTTTTTAGTTACTGTTCGGTTTACAAAATAAACAATCGAATAGAACATGGGGTGTCCAGGTATTGGCGGTAAAAAATGATAAATAAACAAACAATAGATGTTGGTTGTTAGAAAACTTAATTTTACACCCGAATCAAAGCTTCTGCCCGTATTGTTTGGTGTGGTGCTAACCAATTTCTCTTTTGTTATGACCCCGCCTACGCATATTATCTGATTCCTTCATGGCATGTCATTTTTTATCAAAACAATAACGTTTTTTGTAGAAGCAAGCGAGCGGGTCACACGCAGCCAAAGCTAGATTTTTTAGAAATAATTAATACGTCAAGTTTAAGAATTGAACAATAGATGACGAAATGATACGTTGATATTTATAACTAGTATTTACACATGACTTGCCCTGCAGTAAATTTTTTTTGCTAAATACGCTTTCATAAAACTAATCAATTCAAACTTAGCCATATGAATTCTCATGAGTTATTTTTACATATTACGATGTGATTTATTATATTATTGGGATATATTTAAAGGGAAGTCAAACTAAAATATTATTTTTAAATTAAAGTCACTAGTGCACTAGCTTAAGTGATACTAAAGTGAGTTTTATCAATTATAACTGTGTAACGATTAAAATATTTTCGGAAAATACAATTGTTATAGCTGTTTAACAAACAGTTTTTAAAGCAATAAAATGAATTGAACTTTCTATAATATATTATTTTATTATAGTCGTTAAAAATGTTTGTAGCTTCATAAACATGGTATAAAATTACTGTTATTGCACATTTTATGAAAAAAAATAATATCAGTTTATCCACCCACATTAGTTATAAATTAATAGTATCTACCCTCATCGTTGTCGTATAATAATGCTTGATTGGTCTCGTGTGAGGTATTTTTTATAGTTTTTTGAGGTATGTCTTCGACGTAGCATCTAGTCGCTAATTCTGCCATATGGGCAACTTTGATTTATGATGCGCAAGCGTTATTAGATGCGATATCTCGGCTATCATCTCAATAAAACATATCTATATAATAGTAAACTATATTCGTAAACCGTTTTTATTTATTATAAGAACCCGGATATTTTTTCAGTCTATATGTGGCAATTACTTGTAGTTTTTGATTAAAATGCGCAAATATTCACAAAAATTAAGTAGTCATCACACTATTATTATAAAAAGGAATGTGTGTATGTGCGTATGTTTGTTTGATAAGGATGAAATTTAAGACACAAATTTTTACCCGAAGTAACATATGGGCTGTTATTAATTTGCCACAAGTTTGCGCGAATTGTTTGAAAAAGATAAGTACATATTAATTAGTTATATCAAGAAAAGTCGATGTTCTGTACTAAGTCGCAAAAGTACTCGAACGAAATGAAGATAAGTCTGTAAAAATAGAAATATATTACTGTGATTTTTTTTATTATCTCCTTATTATCTTGCACTTTTCTATTCCGCTAAGTGACAATCTTCCCCGTAGGTTAATTGGTAGAGATCTCTGTTAGAGATAAATCCACCTTTGCTCTCAATTTTCTTACAATGTTGTACGAGTATATTCTAAGTTTTTGTGCAATAAAGAATATATTATTATTTATTTACTATATATATATATATATATATATATATATATATATATATATATATATATTGTTTATCCCAAATGAAAGAATACTTATTACCATAGTATAATACTACTGATGTATAATACTACGTTTTATTATAATTAAAGTATCAACGCGATCGTAATATATAACAAAGAATTAATGACACGTCAGTTAATAGATTTTATCCACTTTTATGATTAGTTTTATGATTGACCAAATTAGTTTTTCTCTGGTGACATTTACTTTTATATAATACTTTCTTTTGATATTAAATAATAGTATGAACATAATGAATGTATTCATTATGTTCACATGTTTTTTTTTTGTAAAATTAATTTAAATTATAATACTATTAGCGACTTACCTCCACTTCGCTCGGGTTTGCCTCTAGAAAAACAAATACAAACCTATCTCACGGGAATCGTACATTTTTCCGGGATAAAAAGTAGCCTATGTGTTATTCCAGACTATATACAGGGTCATTTTTAATTTATTGAAAACCTTTTGAAAATATACTATTTACATCATAACAACAACATCTGTAACAAGAAAAAATAATATTTATTAAATTTTTATTTTGATACCAAAATAAAAATACTTTTTTTGCACCTTCTAAACTTTAAAGTTCTAGCATCTGGTCAAGTTTAAATGAGTAAGCGCGGCTTCCAACATCCCTCTACACCTCCTCCTCCACCGGACACGCACTTTCTTTTGCTAATGCTGGACTATTACCGTTTAGAAGGTGCAATAAACATATTTTTATTTTTGTTAAATTTAAGATATTTTTTTTTCTTACAGGTGTTGTTGTTATGTTGTAAATAGTGTATTCCCAAAAGGTTTTCAGTAAATTAAAAATGACCCTGTGTAATCTATCTCTCTGCCATATTTCATCCAGATCCGTTCAGCCAATACTGGCGTGAAAGAGTAACAAACATCCATACATACTCACAAACTTTTACATTTATAAAATTTATTATACAGATTAGTAGAGAATTTTTGAGTAGAAAATATTTAGTTGCTAAGATATTTAAGGTGAAGGAAAACATCGTTAGGAGCCTGTATGTCTGAAATAACCTAGAAAGTTTTCGAAAGACATGTGAAGTCCGCCAACCCGCACTTGGCCTGCGTGGTGGACTATGGCCTGATCCTCCTCGTATTAAAATTAAGCCTGTGCCCAGCAGTGGGGCGTTGAAAAAAAGGGCTGAATACAACTTCAGAATAAATATTTGGAAATTAATTACCATCAAACTCAGCAGATCACAACCATAAGTAAATGGATATAAGTACTAAAATAATGCTGAAAATAAAGTGTAAAAATTTAACTATATATTTTTAATGATTTTACTATTTACAAATAACTTTTGTGTAAATATAACCCGAACAACCAGCTATGATCATACCAAATTTCATCAAAATCTGTCCAGTGTTTTCTCGTAATGCATTCGCAGACAGACATACAAAAATTCTATAAACTATAGATTCGGCCTCTGTATCGATAATAATGACTATTTTAATAAGATTTTCCAAAAAATATTTAATGTACAGATTCCACTCAGAATTTTATTATATGTATAGACCGTATGTATATGAATACGTATTTACATATTAGTGCTTTCTAACAAAACTAAATATTCGAATTTTCTTAATTTACCTATTGCTGTACCATTGGAAAGTCAGAATACAACGATTTTTCATTTTATTTATCTGTATTCGATGACTGACTAAATGGGGTTAAATATACGTCTGGATAAAACAAATTTTTAAAAGAATTGAATTTTTTTTAAATGTAAAAGTTTAGTAATTAAGAAATTTTGAGTTTTTAAAAAACATAAATGTTAGCATTTATCTTTTTTAAAAACTCAAAATTTATATTTTAATAACTCAAAAAGCTTTTTTGAAGTGATTTCAAAAAATATCAGAATATTTTAAGGTTGAGAAAAATTTACTTCATGGTTGAATAAAATGATAATTGTTTATATAATAGAGGCAAAATAAGATCTTTATATTGTTTTTGAGTAAGTACATATATATTTTTCTGTATTATTATATATTCCTATAAGAATTCCAAAAGATTTACACTTCAATTAATAAATAATTTATTTAGTATCTTAATTCTAAATATTTACAACATTGTGTCGGCGGGCTCTATTGTTGAAAAATAAAGCCTCAAACGCTCACTTATAGGTAACAAGTCTAAACTGATAAAATTCTTAGAAATCGATGAAACTTAATACCATAAATCACATTAATTTTATGAACAATTTTAATATATTAATCACTAGCTTCTAAGATCTAAGTAATTAAGGCACTATAATTTGACTAGATATATGAAGAGTCTTTTCGTATTCACTATAATAACATTATAGTAAGTCGGAGGGATCCAAACTTGATTCGGTGGCTCGGTTACCTGAAAATAAAATGAAATATTAGTCCTTTATTTTAATTAATAATATTTATATATCGCTTAAAAATTAGAATCAGAATTTAATATATTATAGTAGTTTTTTTTAATATAGTTTATAATATAAATAAATCTAGTTTCAAATCTAAATAAATCTTTAAAATATAAACTAAGTCTTACATTATTGCTATTTTTGCTGCCACCATGAAATGACATCAAGAAGCTCGTCCTCATCCATGGGGCCGAGGTGTTGTTGCGTTGACACTTCGTACCGGTCAACAGCTGAGTAAGCTGAAGATACTCCTGACGAGCATTCCGAAGGTGCAGGGGAATCGGCTTTTTCTGAACAAGGTGAACTGCTTCCATAAAAGAAACCATCATCCATATCAGTAACTGTAATGTTTTGTGAATTCGTGTTGGGTATATTTTCTCTATTTTCTTGATCGCGTGTGATACCTAAGGCTGCATCACTTTCATCTAATAATTGTTGTAGATATCTAATATATTCAACCACCATCCTTAATGTATCCACTTTGCTCAGTTTCTTGCCAGATCCTCGTCGTGCTCCGCCTGATAAAGCCGCAACAACTGATGCTGGTAAATGCCGGCGAAGTGCGTTGAATCCGTCGTTTACTTGTTTTACGCGGTTACGTTCACGAGCATTACGTCTTGCAATGGATGCAGCCTGAGGTCCTGTATATGGATTTGTCCTAAAATGCACCTTTTTTCTGTATTGTAGATTTGGTGGTGAATCGTGAGTGACATAATTTTTTTCTGGGGCAGGTGCAATCGGTAATATCCTTTTTTCCGCTGTTGGTTTCGTTACAGTCGCCGATGGGTAGCCAGACGAAACAACCACATAGTTGGTCTGACCTTGAACAAGTTGTATCTCTTGTAACATTTTACGTGTTTATTTACGCGAGCGGTCGCGAAGCAAAGTGCACACAAGCTATCCGCGCGACGGTCGGAAAAGCACTGGTCGTCGCGTAAAGGGAGGCTTCGTGGGAGCTTTTAGTAAGTTGAGCGCGAGCGGCGGCAACGGAGCTTCACGCACAAGTGAGCCGGCGGCGCACGCGCACGCGTTATATCACCTGCGCCGGCTGCAAAAAATATAAATTTTAAAATTCTCCTCCCCTATTATTTTCCATCATCCCTTCCCCTTTATACGTACGGGTTCGTACCTGGCGTCGAGTTTAGGGAAGCGGGCAGGGAACGGCTAACGCGTGTCCAGTTTTTTTTATGACCACTAAAGTGTAGATATAAAAATCAGAATATTTCAAGACTAACTATAATTTTTTTTAACTAATATACACTACCAAATAAAATTTTTACTTGAAGGTTTTAGCAAGAATACGGCGGCAATATGATAGTCAATAAAATCATAGGACATTTTTAATAACTCTTGAATTATTTTATTAGCCGATAATATCTTAATGCTCTTTCGATATAAATATCTTTTTTAAATATATCTGATATAACTAAGTCGTATTAGTTTAGTAAGTAAAATCTTTAATTTAAATGGCCCTTTATCATGCTTGTAATATTTTTATACACATTTTTTGCTTGTTATCCCTTTACAGCTTCAGAATGCACGATTTATCTAGCTATGTGTATTTATGTATCCGTATTTATTTGAGAAGTATTCAACTAAATGTAATACTGGGTTGCTAGCATACTTCAGTAGCAAATTGCAACCAATACATCCAAGCGTAGTAAATGGTCATTGTGCCAATAATAGGCAACGAATTAAACTTATTTTCACCTTCACAAAATGCAAAATTTTATTCTTGGATAAAAGCGGCGTTTCTTTAACTTTTAAATGAAAAAATGAAGTTAAATAAGGTATACGGCTGATTTTTATTCTATTCTACTGTTCGTTTATATTGCTTGATGGTAAGCTACATTTAATACATTTAGATGAGATTTTGATTATATTGTTTTAAAGTAGAAATGAAAGTTGAGGATATATTATAGCTCAGGTAAATGGTTATTTAATTTTACAGAGTTTATTAAATATTTTACTACACACATTGTATACAATAAAATAATAAAACAAAATAACAATAAAGTAACAATAATTGTATTGTATTGTATTCAGCCCTGGGCACGGGCCTCCCTTCCATACGAGGGGGATCAGGCCATAATCCACCACGCTGGCCAAGTGCGGGTTGGCTAACTTCACATGTTTTTCGAAAACTTTCTAGGTTCTGTCAGACATGCAGGTTTTCTCACGATGTTTTCCTTCACTGTAAGGCAAGTGGTAATCATGTTCTAAATGATTCGCATATGAAAATATCGGAGGTGCCAGACTCGGGATTTGAACCTGCTTCAATCGGTTTCCCAAGTATTAATATTATAATGTGAAATTTTGTGAGTATGGATGTTTGTTACTCTTTCAGGCCAGAACGGCTGAACGGTTCTGTATGAAATGTGGCACAGAGATAGATTATAGTCTGGAATAACACATAGGCTACTGTTTATCCCGAAAAAATGTACGGTTCCCATGGCATAGGTTTGTTTTTGTATTGTAATAATTTTCATTATAATAATTTTCATTTTTTATTCATATTGAAATTTTATTAGAACACGCTGTAGCATATTAAAATCATGTATACTTAGTATACACGTATTCTTACATTTTCAACATATTCGAAATGTTCAAATATCGATTAGCTGGGAACGTACGGATCGTGTCGCTGAGCCTCTCGAATTATTTACATACCAATTGGTTAATTTAAAATGGGCTAATAATTTATTGATTTTGAATTCTAATTAATTAAAGGTTTCCTATGAAAAAATTTAAATTTTTCAAGCGCATTATAGTGTTGTTTACTTAACACTCGTCGATATTTGTCTGTTTTTTTTTTAATTTATTAGTTGTCAATTTATAGAAAGCTTCTGAAGTTTATGAAGGTATTTAAGTAGGTAAGGCTTTTATATTTTTGTTAAGAGCTTGTATTGCTCGTCGAAAGTCAAAAACTTATTTTATTTCTTGAAACCAATTCAAAAGTTATATATCCACCTATGTATGTATATATATATACATATATATGTACACATATATATATATATATATATATATATATATAGCACTACCGTATCACATTTACTGATTGATCAATAGATACATATTACGTACATGGATCATGTCCTTTGCATAACTAATAGCATTCATAGTCTAAGTAAAGTTTTCTAACAGTGGAAGAATTAAATGGATATTTAAAACAAAAATACATTTCCCAACTATATTATAATTGAATTTAGCGTAGACGTATCTATGTAATTGAACTCTTACAAAAGTAGGTAACTCAGTCTTGAAGCGGAAGATTCCTTTTGAGATAAACTAACCAGTATCCATCTTGTTTTTAATTTTTGCAGTTATTTTTAAATAGATTTGATATGTCACTACTGATAGCAAAAATGCTTGCAATTTTAAAGATTACAAGTATTTGTAACCAACTATCAAGTCCTTTGACAATAATATCAAATAATTTAAACGTAATGTAAAAAACTTTACTTTTTATTACGTTTACTGATCAAAAGTTGCCGCCTTATCGGATCCCAAAATAAAAAGACACAATCTTTTACTTTAATTTCTCTAATTAGTGCATTATCTTGGAGGTTATTTTCATTAAGTTAGCTAAGACATTGACGTTTAGGAAATACATGAGCTTTTTTTCTTCTTCTTAGTATTAAGATACACATGTGATATCTGAATTATAACAAATTATTTAATTCGTTGTGTTACTTGTTTCATATATTAATATTTTAAATGCGAAAATTAATTTGTGTGTATGTTTATGTAAAGGTAGCCTTATTGCCGTTCATCAACTGGTCCCCGTGGGAAATTCCTGTATTTTAATTGTAATTTAACAATTATGGATGATCATAGAATTTAAATGAATGATTTAATAATAGGTAATAGCTACTTTCGGGTGTTATTAGAGAGTAAGTTAGGTTTTAGTGGATCGTCAGTAATGTTGATTAATTTTAATACGTAGACGTTTATCTTGCGATTATTATCTATACTATAATAAAACTGTAGAACTCGAATGTCTGTACAAAGAAAAAAATGCTAAAAACTGGGTCAGGGAGATGTAAGAAGACAAATAGAACAAATCCAGTTTTTTTCCATTTTTTTTTGTTTCTCTAGCTGTTTATCTGTTTGTACGGGATAATCTCCGAATCTATTGGACTGATTTAAATTAAATTTTGCAAGGTGGTATCTTATATCCCCGGGCAACATCTTATATACTTTTTATTCCAGAAAATTAAAGAGTTCCCGTGGGATAGTTAAAAAACTATAGTAACTTATACAGCTTAGTACACAGCAACTTATGTTCCTAATTTAGTAAAATTTGGCATGCTGATATCTTATATTGCCGGTCAATCGAAAGGTTACTTTTCATCCTGGAAGAATGAACGGGATAGATCTGTTTGTGCATTTCTAAAGGCGAACCCGTGCGAAGCGAGGGTGAGCCGCTAGTAATATAATGTAATTTGAATTGTTAAATTTAGTAGCAACTATTTCAACATAGTTTCAATATGAAAAATAGTAATTTATTTAAACAGTAAAATTTAAATTGTATAAAATCTATAGGTTTTAACATTTGCAAAGTTTTGATGAAAAAGAATTTCCAATATAACCTAAGTCCGCATTGACTAATATATTGAAATTTTATATCATAATATTCCAATCAACTGTAGACATTAACAAATAACTATTACCTCCCGTTGTTCAGTTTAAATGAAATTATTACCCTTCAAAATATGTAACTTGATGACAACATTCCTAAAGCAATTTGTTAAACATTTTGCATAAATTTACTATTAAGCTTAGTTTTATATCCATTTTATAAAGTTTTTTACAATATGGTTTTATAAGTTTTGTAGCGCTTTGTGGTAACGCGCTTGCTCGGGACACCGAGTATAGCGGGTTCAAATCCCGGGTCTCGCATTTCTGATATTTTCATGTTAGAAAAATGTTCAACATGATTATCACTTGTCTTATGGCGAAGGAAAACATATGTGATAAGAAAATCTGCAACCTGAGAGAACCTATGTAGTAAGTTTTCGAAAGATATGTGAAGTCCCCCAACCAGCTGATCGCCTCCCCGTATTGAAAGGAGCTCAATAGTGGGGCGTTTAAGGGCTGAATACAAACATACATAATATGATATCAAGTTTTTGCTCGCGGCTTCACTCGTACGATAAGCAGGGTGAGTATGAAATATATGAGTATATATGGCCTCTGTTCTAGCAAACTTCAACGAATTCTATTCATCTTTAACCGTGAAACAAGTATACTGGACTAAGTGATTTTTTACAATTTATATTACTTTTTACATCAGTATGGACTGCGTATGCCTATAGAGTTAATGCGATTAACAATACTTTCTACGTTTTGTATTACATTGCAAATGGGAAGCATGATCCAGAATTTAAATTAAACAGCATTTTAGGTATCTCTTACTTCGGATACTCAACAAATTCAAATGAAATTTGACTATTTGAAATACATTGAACAAATTCAAATGAAAGACTATTATTATTACTATTATTTTATTTTTAGCTTACATGGAAATCTGTTTGTAAACAATATGCCAATCTTAATTTACATTGTTCAATCTTGCTATGGCCAAAATTTTTATTTAAATCTTCCTTTCTCAGCTGTGAAATTAAAAAAGTATTTAAGAAAATGCTCTCATGTCATTTTAGCCGTAATATGCGAACACAAACAGTATTTGTAGTCAGAAAAAGGTAAAATATTGGCTATTACATTCTCAACATCAGCAACACTATATACCTACTGCTTAAGCGAAGCCTCAGTTGTGTCAGAAAATCACGGTACTACGGTAGCTTGTAACAATACTTTAAAAGCTATGATCGAATATATTTTAA